TCTTTCTCTTGCTTCTTCGTTTTCGCTGTCAATGTGTGAACGGCTTCTATTTGACTACGCTCTACTTCCTCCTTCGCATGCAATGATCGTTTCAATCTTTCCAATTCCGTATTTTGTTCCTCTATTTGCTCTCTAGAGAAATAATAAAGTAAAAATTGCAACGAATATAATTATTATTTGCTGTCACTTATTTTTGATATAATTAAAATATAAAAAAATATATAATTAAAATAATACTTTTGACTCTTTATCATTGCATCAGTCTCTTTCTCTTTTACGCGCAGCTTTTTTATAATGTTGCTGTGTTGAAGTTGTTGTTTACTGAGTTTCTCGCCCTCTTCACGAAGCTCCTTTATGATCTCATCCTTCTCGGCATTTATGCTAGACATTTCCTGCGACGATAAACGCGAAGCCGCTTCTAACTTCAACTGATCTAAATTTTTTCTCAATTGATCACGTTCCCTTATCGCTTGTTGAAATTTCCTCTCCAGTGCCGACAGACGTTGTGTATATTCATCTGTGATTTGATTGATATTTTGATTTTGCTCCGCATGTTTTTCAAAATTCTCAAGCTGTCTGTAAACATATCTGTTCATGATATCTATCATTTGAAGATAGAATGATATTTTAAGATAATTATGACAATCTTACTTCATTAAATTTGTATTTTGTTCATGTAATTCCATATTTATCCTGCTTACGTCGATTAACTTTGATTCTCTCGCTTCTAGAATTTCGGTCATCTCCTGTATTCGTTTTAACAATTTTTCAATTTCCATATTTGCTTCATCCGATCCTATACTGATTTCGCTCAATTCTCGAGAATGACCTCGAGTTTTTAAAGTTTTTGTTAATAAATCACCACCTTTACTCAATTGCAATTTCGCCGGACTTTGTCGCGATTGAGTCGAACTTGAATCTCCGTTAGGACTGTTGACAAATAATACATTAACTGTTGATAAATGTTAAATACAAAACATTATTTTCATACCTAGATATTATTTCGATGTCGCTCGATGTAGTAGTTTCTAATTCGTCTCCACTTGTATGTCCACTGGCTTGATCAGATCCAATTTTTACTAGATCGGAACGACTATAAAAGAAGTAGATTTATGATAGAAAAGTGGTTATAAATTTGAATAAAGAGTATATGTGAATTAAATAATACCTTTCTGACGATATGGGTGAATTTTCTCGCGGTACTTCCGTGCAATGGGTCTCTATATCAATTATTTCACCCTTTTCAACCATAGCATCAGCTAGCATAGTCTTTACGTAAGAACTAGTACTCAAAGGTGTCTCTAGAACTTTGGAGTCATTTGTACAGATTAATGTTGCATTATCCTCCGAACTGCTCTCTATCAAGGTACCTTCCCTGCTAGAATCGGTAGATATAAAATGTTGGTCAGTATTACTCTCAATCATTTTTGTTTCTTCTAGGTTTTCGTTTTGACTATCAGGATCCGGTGGTTCTATAGTGGTACTCATTAATTGGGAAAAGGTGGAAACATCCGATTTCTCATTTACTCCTTCCAAGTGATCCAATTTACGAATTGGCTGTGTGGTAATTGGTTCAAGTGTCAAATGCAAATTATGTTTCTCTTTCAGTGAATCAAGACTCAAGTTTAACTTGTTCTCTGTGCAAATCTTTGTTGAGATTTGTCTATCATCCGGGCACGAATCATGCATCTTTATAAGTACTTTTACATCGCTCAATTCCACCTTATTTTTAGTCGTATCCATTTGTTGTAACTGTTCAAATACCGTCATGACTGTACCTTCAGAAGCTGAAGTGTAAGAATCTTCGGCCAAGCTTACTTCGTCTGCCTCGTCAATGTCCGGTATCACTTCGACGCTTTCGGGTGAGGTTTTGGAGTTGTTCGTCGCGTCTGATAAACTTTTATTTGTGTCCAAGCTAGAAAACGTATTGGGCGACGGTGTGCTATCAACGCTGTTAGGATATGGACTGACGTTCAACGTTTTGATCTCCTCCATCGGAGATTCATACGGAGAGATGTCGGACGATGAAGCTTCCGCAAATTGATCTCTACTTGGCGGTTGTAACATATCAGTGCATTCTATGCATGGAGTAGCACATTCATTCTCGTCCAGAACAGTAGATGACTCTAGATTTTTTGGATCTACTGGAGATAAATAAGGACTGCTGTCACTCTTCCAATCTCCCAGGATCTCCACGGAGCTCGGTGACGTTACCAAACTGTCAGGCAGTATCTCGACCGATTCAGAATTTACCTTGATATCAATAACAGAAGGACTTAACGAATTAGTAACGGAATTAGGATCCGATTCTGGTGTGGTAGTGCAATCGGTGTTGGATTGCGAACTAAGGATCTCCACACTCTCCAAGCTCTTTTTATCGCTCTCGGAAGAAACATTAGGTACTTGGTGGAACACATTAGTAGAACTCAATGTATGATTGATATCATTGTTTTCTGATGTTACATCATTGTCATATTGTCCTTCTTCTTCCCTATCAGAGCTTGTTGTAGAATCACTGTCGGTATTGTCTGCCGTTGGTGCATAGTATACTTGTTCCAAGTCTAAACTGGCACTTTTAGTCTTATCAGTACTAATAGAAACAACATTGTCTAGAGATGATTGTTCTGATAATATACAAGATTCTGACATAGTTTTTTCATTAGATTCTTTAGATACGCTACGATTAGTATTTACAGACTCACTGGTAGCACTAAACTCTCCTTTATCTTCCTTATGTACAGACTCCCTCTTTCCTATTGCAGACTTTGAGTCCTTTGTCATCAATTTTTCAGGGGCGGAAGTAGAAAACACCATGCTGTGTTGCAGTTCATCTTGATTGGTAGTACTTTGCAAAGACTTAGAATGCTTGACAGTTTTCCATACATTTCCATCTACCTTTGATGGTTCAAAAAACGAGCCTGTAAAACTACCCCAAATACTACTCGAAGTTGGTAGTTTCTGTGGATTGCTGTCATGTTTACTGGCCTCTTGTTCATTCTGTAATCCCCAACTCGCAAAAAAATCTGAAGTCTCATCTGTGTGTGATTGAATCACCTTTGGTTCTTCCTCCTTGATATCTAAAGCCTTATCTATGGTCTTCTGTGCCCCCTTCAAAGCAGACTTTGCCAAATTGGCAAATCCTGTGGCATCGAACCAGCTCATGTTTTATGCCTACCTATAAGAGAAACAAAATAAATCATGAACTTTACTTTGCAAGATACAAAGAAATGTACTGTAACCTTTACAATGTATAGAACCTTTTACATATGTATGTGCAACAAAACAAAGTGTCTGCAAAACACATACAGCAAAGCTAAATTAAATGAAGACGCGCGCTTTAAGCGAACATAAACCGTTAAGACGGGAAATTAATGTTGTGGCAAGGAGAATTAAATGTTTTAGCTCTCAAAAACAAGCATGCTACCGCGCTGTTACGTGGCACTTCCTCGCGTTCCTTCCGCCTCGAGTCACCGCGATTTACGTACATGACATCCTCTGGGGCGATAATCGTGACGCGCGGTGAGGCGCGGTCTTCGGATCGGTAGCGAATCCTCCTTTTTCTCACATGACTGTCAAAATGTATTTAGCAGCCGACATGTTCACGAAGAGTGTTGTCGTCGTGCGTGCTGTTGCAACTAGTGCTGTCAACCTACGTTTCTCGCGGCCTCCGCTCCAGTGGACTTTCTTTCTCCTCGCTCTCTTTGTTTACGTTTTACCTGACTTCATCCGCTGAACTTTCGATATAATTTCCTTGAGAATGCGAAATACAATGACAATCAATCACGCACAATCTAAACTTTACGATGCGAAACATGAAAACATCAGAATTAGATTTCGCTTCAACTGCACTTTCTGCACTTTTTCACCTCTCTCTCTCTCTCTCTATCTTTCTATTCTAACCTAGATCTGACCTAAACCTGTTTTATTTTGATCCTGTCGTTCACCTGTCATTCCGTTAACTTTGTAGGCTCGAGGATACTCAACTGATGAAAAAAAGTATATTTTTTAATTTTCGCTTGTTCTGTATTTTTACAAATTCTATATCTGCATTTATCTCTTTCTTCCTAAATGTACCTATTGCATTTTTAAAGGAAAGTGCAGATTCAGTTAAAAATCGAGTAACGATAAAAAGTCATGATTTGTCAAATAGACGTCATTAATTTTTCCTTAGAATTAAATAAACGAAGTTGAACGTAATAAAACAACTTAATACGATCCATAAACACATGAATAAATATGTTGGACACTTTGCAACTATTCGAGAAATTTAAACTTTGTTCCTACTTCAACTCGATTTTTGTAAAAATGGTGACATTATTTATTATGCGTAAATTGATAATATATAAAATAAGAATAAGAAGCTTTTGATATTAGCGATACTATCGCTGAAGAATCCCATTTACGACAACCTTTGTCAACAGCTCCAGTGGCGCAATTGGTTAGCGCACGGTACTTATAGAGCAGTTCTCGTGAGCAATGCCGGGGTTGTGAGTTCGAGCCTCACCTGGAGCAATTTTTTTTTCCATCAACCTCTATGCGATCAATTATATTAATTATTAAACAATAATCAACGTTAGACTGTACAATAATTTGAACACAACATAATGAGGATAGTTTAATTGCGTTACACACTAAATTATACTACTGTATATTATAATATAATCAAATATTTATTATTAATATTAAACATTAACGCGGTAAAATTTATATTAATATATAAATGTTTCTAAATAATATATATATATATATATATAAAAATGATATATATAATATATTTATATAAATTTAAAATTTAATACAATATTGTATTAAATTTATATCATATATATATCTTAAAAAAATATATCAAATATATATCAAAAAAAGAGCTAAAGATATATATACATATTTAAAACGGTATATGCATATGTATTTCATTATTATCAATGTAAGATATAACACACACTTAACGATTTAAAGAAAAAACATATTAGCAGCATACACGTATATAAAGTGCGCAATATCAGAGATGTCAACTTAGAAATTTGCAAATGGATATGCGACTGTATGCGAGTCACAGAGAGGCCTTCTGACCTAAATTGATCGAGATATAATGGACAGCGTGAGAGTGACGACGACAGATCCCGCCGTTATCATTATTAATGGCAGTCGCGTTAAAATCGAGGATACGAATGATGTTTTATGTTAAGTATCCGATCGTCAACCAAATCACGAAATACGGTACCTATTAAATCGTCTGATGGTCGATGTTCACCGATGTTTGTTCGCCGGACGGAACAATGACCACCGGAATCCGGTTTTGTGAAGGTGTGCGCTTTAAAAGCGCTTTAAAAGCCCACCCACGGCTTCGCCGATCGTCAGTCACATCTTGCTATTCAATATGTCTCGCCTATATTATGATTCGCAATACAAAATATGCTCTACGCAGGTAAATCTCAAAAATGAATATCAAATTGTCTCCTTTTCAATCTTAAGAGAATTTCAAATCTTTCGAAAATATGAAAACTTATTTAAATTACGTTCAAAAGAAGAGTTTTTTTAAGCTAAACTATACTATTATAATATAATTTTTCAAACTAATTGGCGATCATTGCAGATATATCAGTGGCTTCTCTTCGTCATCATAATATCCTCAGAGAACCTCGTGAACGGATTTGAATCTCAAGATGCGATCTTTGTGAATTTCCATCGCAGACACAACGTTTCGAAGGTAGCGATACTTCACGACAACAGTTATTTACCTCCAGCTTCGATTCCGGATTTCTCTCTGCCGGAAGTGATCGATAACAGAGCTCGGAACGTAGCAGTCGCGATAACGGACGAGACCAGAAACTATCCCAACGCGTTGTATCATCTTCCTGAACGGGATTCCTTGCGAGTCTCCACGCGCAAGGGTCCGTACGACACGAGGTATCCAGGGAACGACGGGCTGCGAATACCTCTGCATCATCGTCGACCTACTTTCCAACAAGGCAAACACCCTCAACAGACCACAACGCAGCCTTCTCCTTCTCCTCTTCCTATCGGTGAAACATCGCCATCCGTCGTAAACCGCGTTAGCGTTGAGGAGATGTCCTGTCAGAATACGAGAGACGAATTGTTCTTCAGGTAATGAAATTCAAGATGATTTTAACTCATACCGCATTTATAAACTAATGCAATAAGTCAGAAGAAAGATTAAAATTGATATTTGGCACAACTAAACAATTCTATCATTTAATGTTAATTTGGATAATTAAATTTAATATGTAATTAAATTAAATTAATTCAATTTTAATGAGATGATATTTTGAATTTGATAATCAATATGTATACATACGTATAATAATTTCATACAGCATACACGTATCACACAATCCATAATTATAGAGTATCCATCAAAGCGAAGAATTCAGTTTCACCGGTGATAGACAACGTGATGAGTGATACTTGTCAGGCAATAGCAGTCAGAGACTCTTATCGTATTAATTTTGAGAACGACCAAGTCTGGAATTGTGGAGTCGTTAATTGTTCCACGGATGGCAACCAATCATACTGCCTTGATCTGAGGTTTCCCGTGATCCCCGGTCTACGACTGAAGGACGATCATAGGGTGACGTTACGATGTAAAACCCAGAACAGAATCGCATATCATACGAAGCGGATCAGCGTGAAGACTTTAGAAGCGTAAGACGCGTCATTTGTCTTCTGGCGAAAGTGGCAAAAATAAGCATCCGTCTGGCACGGAAAACGGACTATTCAGATTATATTATGTATCCCCCATAGGAAAGCGAGGAACGTACCAGGCGTACTAGACGGTGGTGCTGAAAATGCCCTGAACGTTGACGTGGGATTATTCAGGAAGACTTACGGCTCGAAAAACATTTTTGACACAAAAATACAATCGGGCGGCACGGTCGTCTTAGGCGAAGAGATTTTGCTACGCGTATTAATCAACGGCAACGACAGTAAGTCCTTTAGTACTGAACGAGGACAGTAGTACACTTTTATTTCTTTAGTAAGACGAATGGCGTACCTGAGACTCTGACGTTTACTTTATGTAACATACGATTCGCTAAATCGATAATTTCACCTCACAAAGAGTAAGACCATGACTTCCTGAGTAAGACATACAACAGATACGTATTATGAAAAATTAGTTATACAATTCTATTAAATTGATATAAAATTAACTCAACCAAAAATATTGAAATTACATAATTAAGATTGCAAATTAAGATTATACGATTAAAACATTAACTGTATAATTATTTGTAATTATAATAATTAATGAAATATATGAGAAGAATAGATTTAAACTGTAAAAATTAATTACTTATGCAATCTTAATTATTTTATTTTCATTTTTAAAATTTATTCTTCTGCATGTTCAAAGGCTGGCGACATTCAAAAATCGGCCAAGTGACAATGCATTATGTCGAGGAGCGACAGCAGCAGAAAATCGTTAACAGTCTGTGGATCCTCGACAAGGACGGTTGCTTGAATCCGGACGTACACGAGATTTGTCCTCGTGAGCAATATGCGATGTCACCGTTGGAAAGCTATCTAATTTTCCAGGCGTTTATGTTTGAGAGCATGAAAGAGACCGACGAAATTTTCCTCACTGTGAAGGCCATGGCATGTGTAGAATCTGTGGACTGTATTCTAGACTGTCCCGGTGGTCACATTAGACGTGCCAGAAGTGTCTCGGATCGAAACAATACTGTTGAGTGGCAGAATGACATAGTTCTGCGAGTGGTTCTTCCAAAATATGAAACACACGCTTTACAGAATTATTATTTAGCAATCCTGTTATCAGCGATCGCGTTACTCGCATTAATCATGTTATTGTGGACTATCAGAACCTCGCTTCGCCAAAGGATATCAAAATCCTGAACAATCTTAAAAGTTTAATTTACTTATATCTCTATGATTGTACATAAAATTTCAAACTGTATATAGCTGTATATTGAATAAACGAGTTATTACACATCATGCGTTAATGGTGTCTCGTTAATCTAAATGCAAATCGTCGTGGTTCTATAAGAGGCTTAAGTGAAGATTACGTGTTGGCCATTATCGATATTTTGGTCTTATGAAACGCGATTTGGCATCTCCCACGCATCTAGTTCGGAGCACAGCTTCAATCCGATTGCAAATAATGCGAGAGACGCGAATATACTCTTTACGAACGGATCCCTGCTCAAACTATACACCATACAAGCCAGAGAGCACGTGCACACGTCCTCGAAGTAGCTGAAACCTTTCGTCAGATAATAATGATCTACGAGTCGCTGCCGTATCTCCAATTTGCGCATAATGCGTTCTGCAATAGGAACAAATCTTGATTTGTAGAAACATAAACTGATATACATTATATGGAAGATATATATATATGTATATATATATATATATGAGTATTTTCAGAAGAGAAGATCAATACAATACAGAAGACAACAAGTGCTAAGTTTTTTTTTCTTGAAAATAAGCGAATTGCTTGCCTTTCTGCTGTTTTATTAAAGGACATGTCTCCTCCTCGCAAGCATCTTCTACGACTACAGGTTTACGTGAAACGATCTGCTCTGCTATCGTCGAGTTCTCGCGAGCTCGTTTCACAGATACTTCTTCTCTGACCGGTCGTTCTTCAGGCATTGCGGTCACTGCTTCTCGCTCCCTCGGTGGTCTAACAGGTCTTTCGCGATCGATTTTCTCGTACAAGGTGGCCGCATTCCTGGAAATTTCAGTACGCACCGCCCTCGGCTCCTCCGGAATTTCCCTCGCTATTACAGCGGGTAGAAACTCCTGCAATTCCTCGTCAATATATTGCTCATAGTCAGTCTTGCCTTCTTCCTCTTCGTCATATTCTATGGCTTCCTCTGGCTCGACTAAAATTATCGTTCAAAATTACCATCAGTTAAATTTATCTGTAAGTCATATCTCAATAATTATTATTCTTAATTACAATGGTCTTCTAATTCTCGCGACGGTTCCAATTCAATTTTTGGTGCTGGCGCCCGTTCAATTTCGTTTTCGATAATCTCAGGTTCCTCAACCGAAACTTTCTTTATAGATTCTTCTGCGATTCTTTCCTCAATCAGATCTTTCTCTTCGATAAAATCAATTTTTTCATCATTGCGATCTGTTATCCTTTCTATCGGACTGACAGTTTCCTTCTGGACGATCACAGGTTCTTGGTCTAATTTTTCTTCTGTAATCAAATCGATTTTTTTTTCATCGCGATCTACTATTTCTTCTGTTGGAATAACAATTTCTTTTTGGACAACTGTGGGTTCTTCGATTAGTTTTTCTTCTTCAATAAGATCAATTTTCTCTTCATCGCGATCTATTGCTGTTTTTAATGGAGTGACAAGTTCTTCCGGGATGATTGTGGGTTTCTTAACTATTTCTTCTTCAATAAAATCAATTCTCTCTTCATCGCGATCATTTACTTTTTTTATTGGAGTGATAGGTACTTTCGGTATGATTGTAGATTCTTCGATTAATTTCTCTTTTTCTAAATCAATTTTTTCTTCAATATCATTAACTATCTTTTCTGTTGGAATGACAGTTGGTTCCTTAATGATTGGAAGCTTCGGAAAAACTACTGGTTTTGTTTCGATGTCCTTTAACTCTTCAGTTCGTACGTCATTGACGGGTACATATGCTGTCTCGATTACACGTTTCGGTTCGTCTCGTATATCTCTCGAAATAATATCCGACGGAAGTCGCAGTTCCACATCGTTCTTCTTCCGTGGAAAAATCCCATCCGTTACATTAGGCAATTCCTTGACTGATTTATAAAGATTGAAACATTTACGCAAAACGTATTAATTATGCATTTTAAAACATGAAATTTTATTAATAACGTCAAAGACATCTTATAGAGAATATGTACTTGCGATACGGAGTTGTTCCCTGACTTTGGGACAAGTTACGGGACATCGGTTTTTTATAAAGTCACGAGACATTTAGAATATATAATATTTTGCGCTTCCGCAGATTACATATTTATATACGAGACACATTCATAATTTCACAATTTCGCAAAAATAGCGAAATGTGATTTAAACAACTTTTATTATCTATATTTTAACATTGTCAATATCCTGCCTTCATCTTTTGTCGAGGTTGACATGCAAATTTCATCTATATAAAGCTTATTAAAACTCGTAATATTTACATCGATTCATATCTATGTTCGCTTGGTAAATTCGTAGAATTTTTGACGTGCAAACGATGAAGTCATCTGAAAGCGTCCCGGATTACTTAAATAAAAATATATTCCCGATTTTGTTAAATGCAATGGAGGAAATGTTATTTGAAGCTGATTGTCGAAATGCGTTAGAAGTATAAAAGTTACATCAAATATCGCGTGTATTTTCAAAGTCATAAATACATACAATATTTTGAAAAAAAAGTACTTTATAGACACATAAATGTTCCTTTAATGGATTGGATTATCTTGCCGAGATTCTTTGGAATAGAAACTTGCGACATCCGAGTAGATTGTATACTTGGCAAGATGTATTTAACATACCTCAATTCAAGCTATGGCTAAAGTTGCAGTAAGAAGAAAACATATCCCGTTTTGTTTAACTATATTTTATTTTACATTCTTTTTTTTAGTCCCAGGCCAATTTATCCAAATTCGTGGTTGTGGACCAAAGAAGAGGCTGCCTTACATATACAGAGATATGTTCGTGGTTGGCTTATTAGAAAAAAAACGGACGTTCAGGAGATGCGTCAGTTTTGGAAGGTATTGGTATAATTAAGGAATTGAAAAATAAATAATGCTTTTTGCATAAATTGTAGATCATTCGTGCAGAAAAAATGGACGCTCCTGAATTCAATTATACACCCAATAAAATGGAGCTTTGAAAGTCGGATTGTTTTCTTTTTACTTTATTTCTCCCTAAAGTAATTTATTGCTTTTCTCTTCAGAAATAATTTATAAAATATTTATTCTTAACAACTATATGTATATCAACATTAAATGTAAAACCTCACAAGGCTGCTGTCTCTTCTGGCTTTGGGAAAAGTGAACTAGACTCGTCCACTTTAAAGTTCAGTTTCACTGTTGGAGTTTCACCTTCCTCAGCTATTTTGTAATTCTTAACTTCTGCTGCTGTGAGATTATACCGAAGATTTAATTTTGGCACTGTGGATACCTCAATGCCTTTCACCTTCATTTGGTTTATTATCAAGTGCGAGAATAACGGTGGAAGGTCTGTTGTTCTGGGTAGGATTCTCTTCTCCACTACCTTTGTATTATTAAGAAATATATGCTCCTGATCCTTAGGAACCAGCATGTAATCTGCCTTGTAAGTTGAGCTATCTAGTTGCACTGGCTTGGAGTTTTTGTTGCCACGGAAGACTCTCTCGACTAGCACCATCACTTTGCGTTCGTTCTGAAGCAATGCAACTATGTTAGAAGATGCAACACAAATGAAAATTACCTGATACATTCAGTGCTTTCCAGCAAGAGATATAGATGATACAATAAGCCTGTTCTTTATCAAAGTATTCTCTGAACTGATGTACATGTTGCACACATAAATTGAACCAAAAGAAATATACTTTATTTCAGTCCAATTAATTTAGAGAATTGTTTGATAGAAAATAGTGTTCACGTAATAGAACAGAGAATCATATTTTTATTAATTGTCAATGTTAAACAAAGATGAAATAATGGCTGTTACCTCAGGTATGTTTTTTTATTTCTGCACTGTCTAAATTAGTACATGTGGTGCAATAAGTTGAAGTGAAACAAATATATATGTGCACTAGTACAGACAGGAGTAAAAAAATAGACATATTATCTCTTGCTGGAAAGACTAACCGTTATAGCCTCTGGCGCTTACATAGGGTTGATCGGGCAAGGGCATCCCAGCGACCTTCAGTATCTTCATGTAACATGGCTCGGGATACCTCTGAAAGCGATTCCTTATCACAAGTCTGCCAACGCCAAAGTTCTTCAAGTTTGCCAGAATCTCCCACAAGGGTTTCCCCTTGAAAGTCGTTGTGCGACCGATTAATTTTATAGGCATTGTAAACAGTAAACCGGTGCAGTGATACGATTTTCAACGCGCTTGCAGCCCTCGATGGTAGCGCCATCAGTCGGCGGCCTGGCGCAACCGGTAGCACACACCAAGTACAAGCTCGTGTATGCCGACTATCGCTCTGTCCTTGTCGCACTAAGTACTCTCCTTGTTCGCCTTCGGCGCGCTAAGAGCGAATGATACGAGAGAGAATCTGACAATGAGAGAGATAATCCTTCTTACTGATGTGTCGTTCGCATACGTAATGACGATAGAAAAATTAACAGCCATATTTTTTTGTATCGGCGATAGTTTAAAAAATTTACTTTTTGCAAAACAGTTGCTATAAAAATGCTTGTCTTTTTTAGTTTTTGGCATAAAAAGGCGATTTGCGATACCTTTTTTATCAATTTCTGCAAGGTATACGTAAAAAATACCTTAGATAAAAATTAAAGCTTAGAAAATTCCCTACAAAATGGTGGATTGTTAATTATTTTTATACGCGATAAACATTGACCGACATACAGACGTTTGAAAACGGGACTTCTTTTTCCAATTTGTGCTTTCATTTTCATGGTCAATAATAATTGCCAAAATATGTTGATCGATAAGCAAAATTTTTAAGTCCACGTACGTTTCTGAGCTCATAATATATGATATTTATTTTTATTTGGTACTTGTACCATATTTTTAGAACAATTGTTCAACAAGAACACTATTTCAATCTAGCATTTTCATATAGTGTATCTCGAATATTATTTGTGCTTTGATAGATGGCGGCACAAGTATCGAAATCGTTCTCGGATATTTTCGGACGCGGTCGCCGATTCAAATAGTGCGACGATGTCGCGAGCAATGCGCGTAATATGCTGATTATATGAGAGGTAAGGTAAGTCGAATGGCTTTTCAAATAATAAAACATTCGGAAAGGATCGAGAAAGATATCCGAAAGGCATTCTGATTCTCAGGTATCCTGTAGAAGATAGATCCTCTCGTGTTCGAAAATTTCCAAAATTCGCTTAGAAAGCGTAATTCTCTTCGAAAACTATTGCAAATATGGCGAAAATTTAGAATCGCGACTTTACTCGAACAACATTCTCTTTTTTTTTTCAAAGGTACTTTCAAGAAAATGTCGATTATGTAGCGTAATCATTATTGTCATCGATTTTCCTTATTGTCTGATATACAAATATTTATTCTTACGTCAATAATTCGATTGCGGACGCGCGTGCGCGCAAATTTCGACCTAGATAACAAGTGCCTAAAATTATAAGACGTTTTTCTGCATCTAAACGACGATTTATACACGTCTTACATATTATAACTTTAGACTTTTTGTGTTATTTGAGGAGCAGTTCGCAGACTTGTCGATTGATCATAATTACGCAACGTCAGGGCAGAGAAGCAGTCATGGAATACAGAGGTATTATACGTGTGTATGATTATATATTTATTAAACTGATAAATATAATATATAAGCTGTTGCAAAGAAAATGCATTACTCGACGATCCGAACGCTCGAATCAGACTTCGCGATTTGCGTGCCATGTATTGCTAGCCGGTGCGCAAATGGCGCCGTGGTTGCATGACTGGCGCGCGATCAAGGAATTACGTTCCACTTGATGTTCGCAACGCTCTTAGAATTATTTGATCCTTGACAAGTGTTAACAAGGGCTGCATTCACAACAGAAAATAAGCTTTGCAACTGTTGTAAACATTTTATTACATTATATATTAAAAACTTTATATATGTATATGTTTTCTAATTACGTATTTCCATTTAGACACATCTAGATCCAATGAAAAACTAAGGCAAGATCAGTCATATTAAAGAATTTTACAAGAGTTGCAAAGCAACTGCTGTTTTTCAGCTGAGCACAGTGAGGAACAAATAATACTCGCGAACGTTGTGAGCGCCAAGTGGAACTTGGTATTCCTGTAGAGATGATTGACCTATACAATACAATAAATTAGATATTTTTAAATTAAAATGAGAGAGAAACTAATTGATAAGATACAATAATTGAATGAATATCTCTTTTCGTTTTGAATCGATCGCCTCCAAGTGAAATTTGTTTATAAATAGAATATAAATCCTTTTAGTATAGATATATATCTTTCTCTATACATGTACGAAATTAAAATAACAACTAAATATCGTCATAAAATTTTTTATACGACAAAAATTGTTTGATTTTTTGAAAAAATGAAACTTTTCCACATCTTTTTTATGTTGAATGCGACTTGATTTAGATTTTTTCTTATCAGTAATTCACAGATCTAACAATCTGGTGAATCCAGTCAAGATAGTGCGAGACGCGTGTGTAGACACCAGGCACGTTCGCCTGGCCGCAACCGATGCCCCAAGAGACGACGCCGGCCAACTGCCAGTGGCCCTGACGCTCGCAGACCATGGGGCCGCCGCCGTCGCCCTTGCAGGCATCTTTGCCTTCTTCGCCGCCGGCGCAGATGAAGCCCGGATGAAGCGTGAAGCTGAATCCTAACCGCGTCTGTTTCATCTGCTGCTCACACACATGGTTGCTGACGACAGGTAGGTTCACCTCTTTTAACACGTTAGAATACTTGGAGCGATCGTCGAAAGCGTCCTTGCCCCATCCGGTGGTCCAACATCTGCCATACATTACGTTAAATTTTCAACAAGGTTGATAAGGATTAATATATATATATATATATATATATTTTTTAAGAATACATTACACTTTTTTTTAAACACGTTATTAATGCTTCAAATGTGCTTTAAACAGTATACATATTTAAAACATATTAAAAACATTCATTAAGGATGTTTTAAACTGTTTAAAACGTGTTTTTTTTATCGATCCTGAATTTCAATTAAAGCACATCGCGTTTACAAGCGAGAGTCCGAAAGATTTTCGATTTATTTTTATTTACGATTATTTGACTCTTATAAATAACAAGAATTTTTTAAAAATTTATCAGAATATAATTTGTTATGTACATACGAATTTTTTTTTAAATATCGCTGCTGCTTCTTCTTGCGTATATGAGGCAACATTAAATAATTTACGAAGAATATAAGAGATAATTATAATGTTATTACTACGTTCTTTTAGTAATACTAGACTTCAAATTTTAAAATTTATTAAATTCTGGAAATTATTAGGAATTTAATTACTAAGAATATTATAACGCCATAATATAAAATAGTCTATCAAAAAAAGTTTTAGATATGTATATATAGGTATATCATATTTTAAATTAGTTCATGCTATAACCATTTATCTACAAAATTCGTTATCGCTGTATTGATATCAATTACTTTCCTACAAATATAGAGAAATAATTGATATCAATATGTGAAGAATTGAAATTTATTAACCTTGAATTAGTAGAATATTCTTGCTATATTGATGAGAAATTTTTGAAATAATTTTGTTCACACGATGATCTCTTTCGTTTTATAAATTACGGGGAGTACGCACCTTGCTCCAGTGAAGTCGTCGTATTTATTTGGCAAACAGGCTGGGCTGATGTGAGGGTTCTTTGCGAAATCGACCTTATGGTCCAGCGTCAGAATTGCGATATCGTTAGCGAGAGTGCCGGCGTAATACTCAGGGTGCACGAAGACACTCACGATGTCGCGCTCGATGTAAGGGTAGAACTCGACGTCGTGATTCACGTCCCATTCGCCTAATCGTGCCCGAAGATCACGATGGACATGGTTCTTGATACAATGAGCGGCGGTAATGATATGTCGGGACGAGATCAAAGTACCTCCGCAAACGTAGACACTTTCCGAGGTGATCTTTTTCAGAATAGCTACGTGCCACGGGTATTCACCTTAAATTAAAAATTATTTAATATAACAATAATATAATTTAATATTGCCATGTAATGAAATATTTAAAATTATTAAAAAATTACATGTGTGGAAAGTATTTCAAATAATATCATACTGTTAAGCAGTGAAAATGCATTATATGAAATTATTAATATCAAGTATTTAAAATTTGAAGCATATTAAAAATTAATGTTCGAAAAATTTAATATTATAGTAATAATATTAAATTCGCGATAACGATAACTGATCTCTATATTCAGGAACGTTTTATTAAAATATTGTACACGTATTTATTAATATACGATCGATAAACAATAATGTCAGTTAAATGTTGGTTGTTCTTGAAATTACAATAAAAAAGGGAGTTATTTTTATATAAACATATTAACAGAATCCTTTTCTATTAAATAAATATCCCAACAGTAAATTCTATACTATCAAGAGTCGCGTACCAAATTCGGATTCTCCGTCGACGAATACCGGGGTCTTGATACGGCCATTGATGCCCTGTGCATTTCTAGCTCCACATTGATCACGTTGTTTTCCTGTTATCTGCGATTTTGGGCAGCAGACTTGATAAGAATTGCAAGCCGGACGTCCGTATTGTCTCTGTGAATAGAAAGGAATCGATCAATTGATTTCGTCCCGACGTATACCTACGACAAGTTCTACTTATCGTGTTCACGACTTCTATCTATGCTATACATCGCTGCTCAGTTTGACAGTCCCGTGTTTCGTAAGTTCGCAGAGTCGGTATCACCGTGATCGTCATCCTGAGTCATCCGCCGACGGCCTCAGCCGCTTTACAGCGGCTCTACAATCTCGTTATTACAACGGTTAAGTCTGTTCAACAGAGCGAACAGACCAACCAACCGTATCCTTACCTCCGACGTCGTTTCGCTAAACGCCGTCGTCGTGTCGCGTCTCTTTCTGTCTGAGAAGGTAATCTTCCCGCTTCTCTGTCGTTCGTTGCCGGTCAGTCCTTGTGGCGAAACCTTCGACAAATCCTTTGTCAAGAATTGTGTATCTTTCGTCGTAGACGCGTTTCTCGCACGAGCGTTTCTATAGTAATCATTCTGATAATCATCCGAATAATCGTATTCATCGTAATCGTCGTTATCGTCCTTGTAGTAGGAGGGATAGTATCCGCTGTGAGGCTTGTAATAGATCGGTTCGTGATGGTGAATATTGTGCGATGGATAGAACGGCGGT